AAAAATTTTAATGTATATTTAATATCAATAACTAAAATATATATTGACAATTAGTTTAACAGAATTGTCACTTATTTAAAAAAATTTAAATAATAGGAGTTGGGTGACCAAAATATGAACTGTGATTTGTAGATTTAATTTTGTTAAAGTGTTCTCACTACCTAAAATGGATATGAAATATATTCGTAGTTGAACGCAATAACATACTTTTTCGTTTTGTAGTATGTGCATAGATTGGCTAATATCCATGCACAGATTACAAAACGAAAAAGTATGCTATTGCCTTCAATTGAACGAATATATTTCATATCCATTCTAGCTAGGTAGTGAGAACACTGCAAAAAAAATAAATTCGCCAATCACCGTTCATATTTTGATCAACCGACTGCTATTATTTTTAAAATTTTAAATAAATGACAATTCTGTCAAACTAATTGTCAGTATATTTTTTAGTTATTGAGATTAAACATACAATAAAATAAGTTATTCTTTTGGAAAACGCATGGATGACTAAAGGGTATTGGGTTAATTAATTCTAAAAGTGTGGTACAAATGTTATTTTTTGTAGCCAATTCTTCAAAATTATTTTGAAATATCTTTTCAATATTGAATATTAGTTCTACAAATTCATCATTTGACAGTTGCAGATTTCCAAATGTATCTGGATTGGCGTTATCATATGCCTTTAAAAAGCAATAAAAAGAAAAATCATCTAATTCAACGTGATCTTTGTTATATTTAAGACAGGTATCGCAGAGGAGTGGATCCGCAAGGCTTTTATTAAAAGGTAACCACATACATACCTGATAAAATTTTTCTGTATCAATTCGTCTTTACAATAATTTAGGGTGTTAATAATTTTATCATAAAATAAAATACAAGGTGTTCCATTTAAAAAACATACATTTTAATTTGCCAGGCGAAAACGTGACACCCTGTATATCCAAAGATATTTTTAAAATATGTAGGTATTTTTCAAATCCATATAACTTTTATTTAAAACTTTCTTGCGTGTCTACAACAAAATAATGACAATAACGCACTAATGGGATACCCTGTATAAATTATATTTTTAACAATGAAAATTTCTTATAATGTGGTACTTATCGGTTTGGGTCCTTGGGAAAACTAAAGAATGTTTTCTTGCAGGTATAACCCTTATTAAAACAGCTTTTGACTGCACAAACAGAATGATGTCTTTTTTTTTCACTCATTCTACTCATAGCTAAAGAGTCACCAAAATAATAACAGTACCATTAACTCAAACAAAATCAACGAAATTATAGGCTCCACGAAATTATACAGTCAACGAAATTATACGCACGACTCAACACCTTACCTAAGTACGCTTCTGAATACCAAAACCGTCTTTTCCCTTCGAAGGCGGAGCTTAAGCGATGCGCGACGAAATCGACGCAAACCGTTGCCGCCAAGAGAGTGTTTTAGCTGTATTGTATAAGCTGTGATGACATTTTCTTTTAGACACACATTTCAGATTACAATAATGTGAAATTTGCGACCGTTGTCTGGGACCAATTAAAAAATTACTTCTATGACATTTATTCGTTTTTTAACCGCTCATTGGCCGTTCACCGACTAAGGCCGACAAAGATAATTATTTCATGAATTTTGAACACGACTATATTTCGAAACTCGCTCTTAGTAACAAATCTAGTTACTTTTCCCTGTGTAAATGCGTCTTTTCAATTCGCTCCTCCTAGTTTAAAAACAGAGTATAGTTAAAAATAAAACTCTTGTTAGTTAAAATATGTTTAGAATATTTTTTGTACATACATAATGTATTTTGTAATAATTAAAAATCATAATATTCTTGTAAGGAAGTTGGAATGCTTAGGGTTTGATCAGTCGCTGTTGAGATTATTTTCATATTACCTAAATCATCGTTTTTATTATGTCTTTTACAACGGATTTTCATCTTCACCCCTCACAGCAACATCTGGAGTTCCACAGAGCTCCAATCTGGGACCACTATTATTTAGTATATTTATAAATGACTTGGCAATAAATTTAACCTGCTGTTCGCTGCTGACTTAAAAATATTTACCTCAATCTCATCAATTCAAGACTGTTACTTTTTACAGACCCAACTTGGGAATCGTTGAAAATTGGTGTAATGAAAACAAGCTGAATGAATGTGTCTAAATGTGAAGTATGTTCCTATACTAGAAGTATTATATATCTATAAGTTCTTGTAGCTTTGACAATAAACATATATTGATTGATTAACAAGGTGGAGTTTGATTATTTATTTAACAGCCTACATTTATCGGACTTGTGCACAAATTGAAGATTAAGGTATATTATTCAACCAAAAAGTTACTTTTTCGGATTATATTGAAAATACAGTTGCTTCTGCGTTGAAAAGCTTAGGGTTCTTAATTCGTAATACTCGTTCTTTTACAAACTCTTAAAGCTTGGAGATCCTTTACTTTTCTTTAGTTCGTTCCAGGCTAGAATATGCATCTCTTATCTGGAACCTTATTTACAATATTCATAAAAGATCATTGGAAAATGTTCAGCGGCGATCTCTCAAGTACCTTTCTTTTAAAATAGATGAGCTGTATCCCATTCGAGGTATTGAAGAATCTCTGCTTCTTTCGAAAATAGAAGGGTAGTTTCCAGTGTTACATTTTTTTATAAAATATTACATAACACTATTGATGTACTATTTTTGATAAATTAAATAAATTTTAATGTTCCCCAAACAGCCATTAGATATCATAAAACATTTTATACAGCAAGTATTTGAACGAACTTGGGAAGAAATTCATCTATAAGGCTAATGTGCTCAAATTTTAATTAATTTTGTTCTGATTGGGATATTTATTTCGACCATTAGTTGTACTAATTTGTAGCTAATGTATTTAGGATTCTTTGTTTTTTTTTCCTTGCTGTTGCTAAAATTATTTTCTGTCGAAATACTATGTTTAGCATTTATTTCATGTATTTTGTTCTGTAAATGGATTAATTTGTTGGGCAATAAAATTATTTTTATTTTATTAAGCAAAAACATGTTTATTTTGATGCATCTACCACCTTTAAAAGTTTGTCAGTATATTAACGAGAAATCCTATATAATTCCCAAAGAAAAATATTTTTGGAATAAATTCCGAATTCTATTTATTGATATTTGTTATTTTTTAGGACCAATGACTCGAAACATGATGATCAGCTACACCAAGAATATCCTTGATACTTAAAAAAATGGTACGAGATTAAGCAGATTTGATGCTATGTCACATTGTGGTGCGAAGACGTGGCTTGTATAAATTTGGGGTATCAGTTGATAGAAAACAGTATGCAAAAATAAATTTAAATCTGCAGATGCATCAGAGATAGCCATATTCCATACCACAATATGTCATGCGTGAACTCGATGAGATTTCATCGGCTAAGTATCATTCCTCTGTAATGTTTTGTATCATTAGGAACACGCAACATTGTAAACAATTATGACCAGGGTTTTCTGACCTTTTCCCTAGGTCAGAGAGAATAAATGAATACTAAATAATGTATAGTAATAAAGATTGAAAATATATATACTTTTAAGAGTTTTATTATGTCAGCCATAGTTTTATACCAAAAATGAAAATAAACTGAAATTATACATTAAAAATACATTCATAAATAACCATATTTATAACACTCATCGACTCTCTCCTGACTAAAATATGACTTATCTATCTATTAGGCTCTGTTCCGTCTATTTTTTGCCTTAAGCCTCCTTCTGACACTTCCATTCGTTCTTATTCAGTGTAGTATTCACATAGTTTTCAGAATATCAAGTGTTATACCTATCTGATGCTTGGTCCTACAAAGTTCATCTTCAGTACACCTGCTTATGTGACATCTATCTCGATGTCAAGTTTGATTGAACACCCGTTTCTTGCCTATTACTCTTATACTATGGAGGGTAGAGGTCTTATACTTAACCAGAACTAGCTTAGACTTGAACGCATATGTCTAATTCGGCCAAAACACAGCCTTGGTACACAAATATCTATTTTACCGCTGGTTTCATTACAAAAAACTGGAGTAAAGGGTAAAATTATCTCTTGTCCAGTACACTCGTATAATACACTTGAGTATTGCCTATATTATTTTTGATTGAAGACGTATACATTTAAAAATGTCGTTTACTTAAAAATAAACATTTAATTTTGATATTTTATTTAACTCGATCAAAACATTAAATTATTATTTTCCATGGCTTATACCGGACCTGTATGTACTCTAGTAGCCATGGAGTAGTTGACAGTGTTGCCGTCAGTTGCCGCCACATATTCATTAGTGACATACGTTTTATAAATTCATCGTGTTAGAAATTTAAAGTGACGTCTTTTATTACTTCGAATGAAAAAAATCGATAATGCAATTTTCTAACCTAAAAAAAATCGTGATGAACTTGAACTTGGCCTTAAACTTCAGAGCCCATACTTAAAAAAATTAGAAATCTATGCATTTGTTATTTGTGTTTTCTTGTTTCAATAAATCCAAGATAGACGTCACTTTATTATTATTGTTATTTTTTTTTGTTGGTCAGTTTTTAGTTTAGTAGGGGATAACCACCAGCCTCCAGCATAATTTATGTATTGTTTTTAATAACGTAGACCCCTTCAAGACTGAAGAAATACTAAATTACAAAAATTTACCCATAGGTGAATTTTGGGCTAACATCTTTAAAATAAAAAAAAAAACACTGCATGAACCAAATGTTTAAAATTTAAAAAAATTAATTTGTTTTTTATTTTCATTACCCCATTCTTTTGCAGCAGCAAAAATCATTTTCTCTCAACTAAATAATAAAGTTTTATTGTTAAATGTATTTAATACTAGTTCTGGTACATTTATGTTACTTTAAAATATTATCTATTACGATTTTATTACCTTTTGGTTCAAAATTCTATTAGGAAAAAATTAATTGGTGTGGTGGCAACACTGGTGCCAAAGACACAAGTTGTTGGAGGCCACTAAAAATGTAATAAGTTAGGTTAGGACTATGATCGAATTGAGTAAAAGTATATTTAATAATATTTATTGACTTACTAATTGAAGCTATGGATGAGGAACTCGGTGAACCCTCTCCTATTACGGTAAGAAAACCAACTATTTAGTTTTTTACATACTAACCTGCTTCAGATAAATCAAACGGGTCCGGTAAAGGATCCTGAGGTGCGAAATTCACAAAAAATGTTTAAACACTCAAAAGTATCTAGTTTTTATAGTAAAAGTTCGAAAAAAAATTTATGGATGAAGCAGTATTTTTCGAAAAAAAATTGAATTAAAAATCCCAATTTCACAGGTTATAATCACAAAACAATTACTCTAAATGACAGTTTCTGACGTTTCTGTCTTAAAAATAATAAACGTTGCCAAGTTGTTAATAAAATTATAAGTTTAAGGATTATTTATAATCATACATTTTTCGTTTGGTTTAAAAAGATAAGTACGGTAATAATCGTATATAAAATGCAAAAATTAATATATCAACCAAATTAATTTTAAAAATGCAGCTCAAAAAAACTACATACAAAATTAAAAAATGAAATTAATTAAATCACTCAACATGTAATACCTAGACAACTTTTTTAAATTTTCTGTCACTCAAAACGGAAGAACGACTTCTCGTAGGGTGGCGGCTTCGCCGCCACCAAAATGTTTTAATCCATACCTGGCTACGCCTGCCGGTATAGACTCCAACGGCCTGGACACAGCTCAAATTGAAATGAAAAGTCTCACATAACACATATTTTCACCTATAACTTATTTTCTTCTCATTCAAACAGAAATATTATACCTACTTGGAAATTATCAGTGATAAAAATCAACAATATAGTATGGCAACGTTGCAAACTAGAGGATCTTATGTGTCAAGAACTGACAATTTCATGAATCACTTTATTTTAGGTTTTATGGAAGGAAATGATGAAAAGTTAGGTTAAATCAGTCAAAATATTGCATTTTATTATAATATAAATAAAAATAGCAAATGAAACGTATTCTTACCTATTTAATTTCAGTTAAAATATTATAAAAAGTAAGTTACTTCAATATAATAATGCTAAAATTATGAAATTCGCACCTCAGGATCCTTTACCAGAACCGAAAAAATTATATCTGGTCAGAATTCTATAGTTTAAAATTGTCAATATCAAAAGGTACTTTAGGGTGATTAGAATGAAAGGTTGGTGATATTTTAATAGGAAGATATTACCTGGGTGTATAAACCACCACCAATTCCAAAGTATTCATGAATATTTAATGTCGCTAGGAAAACTACTAGTGGGTGATACAAATTTTAATTTATTAGATACAGTACCTAGATAATGAATATTTTAATTATATGTCTACTGTTGTCGGAACTAAGGTTTACTTCATTTATTAAACATTATTACTCGAAATGGTATGAAGAGTTGTTTGGATCACATATTTGTTAAACAAGTCCAAAAGAGAAATTTGTTTGAGTTTTCATTGATTGATTATTATAATTGAAGACACAAGTGGATGAAGGGCCTATGTTACATTTTTTTAAATGGTGTTTTTCTTTGAATGAGGTGCGTATATACCTAAAATTCGTTTAAAATATCTTCCATGACAATATATCATCAAATATAGAAGTTGCCAGTGGATAAAGGGCCCATGTATTAGGCAATAACTGCTAAACAATAAACTTTTACACGAAATTTCTCATTCAAATTATTTTGCTACATAGGCCCTTCCTCCACTTGTGTCTTCAATTATGATCCGGAAACTGGTGCTAATAAATTTATTTTGGTATTTAAAAATGCTATAAATGAAGAAAATATATAAACACAGTATTACAATACAAAAAATGGACAATGAATGAATTGATAACATCTATAAAACACAGAGATAGATTAAAGTGAAACCTAATAAAACATTATAGAATAGAACTAGAAAAGGAATATAAATCATATCGAAATAGTCTACGAAAACTAATTATTGAACAAAAAAATGTAAATATTACTATGAGGAAATCAACAAAAATAAAGAAATTATATCAAATTGTAAAGGAATGTACAAAGACCTAATTAAAAATGAACACACTATAATACACAATGATGATAACACAGAATTTAAAGAAAACAAAATTACTGCAACAACCACTTCTTTAGAGTTGGTCTAGATGGGAAAAAAATACAAATACTGACAAACCATATGAGTTGAAAACCCCTAATTATTTAATTACTCATATATTTGCATTAAAAACCAACAGTTCTCCTTGTATACTATTAAATATAATTAAAAAATATGCACTTAGAGATCCTTACACCCTTTATTCATATTGATCGCAGTTAAATATAGTAAAGCATAGTTCTATTTTTTATTTATTTATTTATTTATTTACGGGTCAGAGCCCAATAAAACAATACAATTACAGATAATACATATTACATACATTAAATAGTAATAAAATCCTAAATAATAATAAAAAATTAATTTAAATACATAAATATTAAAAACAATTAAAAATTACTCCTCACATATACATAAATGGATAGAAAAATCTGATGGAGAAGAAATCCATTCTACATTTAGTCTGTTAGCAGATCTTGTTGCTCTAGGAATAAACGAGTGAGAACCATAATTTGTTCTATGAAAAGGTTGAGAGAATGTATTAATATTCCTAGTTACTCTAGAGGGTACAGAAAATCCAATTTGGGATAACAAGTATGGACAATCGGTAGATGAGTTAATAATGTTAAACAATATTTTAAGATCCCTTTGGTTTCTTCTGCTCAGAAGGGTCTCAAGATGACAAAGTGTGTGTAATTCGTCATAATTGTATCTGAAGTTGACCGGGACAATACCCGATTTAAATGTAACAATGCGTAAAAATTTTCTTTGAACCTGTTCTATATTATGGATTAGATATACATAAAAAGGATTCCATACAGAAGAAGCATATTCAATATAAGGTCTAACTAAGGCACAATAAAGAATCTTTAAACACATCACATTATGAAAATCAGAAGTAGTTCTTCTAAGGAAACCCAACATTCTTAATGCTTTATTAACTGAGGCTGTTATATGAGTTTGAAAAGAAAGGGTGGAGTCTAATATCACAACCAAATCTTTTACCTCTGTAATAGTATCCAGTGTTATGTCATTGATTTTATAGATATATTCAATAGGACTATGTTTTCTGTTGAAATTGATTGCATGACATTTACTTGTATTTACTGAGACAGTCATTGTAGAAGTTCTGATTAATTTTGTGAAATACAAATTATGTGCAATATACATTTCATTAGGTAGTGCATTTAAAACATGAAACTGCTTTAGAATTTTTAAAATAATCTAATGAATTTTGACAAAAAAAAAGTATATATTATGGGGTATTTTAATATCAATTGTATTTCAGGTATAAACTATGAAAGTTCAATTAATAATTATATTTTAAATCATTTTCAAGATTTTGTAGATTTTAATGTATTTAAGTTATTCAATGACATAAAAAACTTTCAAGGAAGAACGCTAGATTTAGTTATAGGTTCAGAAAATAATTATAATAATTGTCTGGTTCAAAGAGATTCACCTACCTTCGTCCATGAAGATTTTTACCATCCATCTTTAAATATCACTATTAGGATTCCCCAACTAAATATGTTGGAAAAAAAAATAAATTTCAAATCTCAGTTACAATTTTAAAATAGCTGACTTTTATAGACAATGTACTGGTCGCATTTCCCCAAAACAATATGTTGTAAGCTAAATGTGAACATGCCATTGCATAGTAAACTTGAAGAAGTTGTTTGGTTCCCCAACATATTTTTTAATTGGGGAATTGCTTAGTACGCACTATTTAATTTTTTGCAAGCGGAGTCGGTATTGGAACTCCAGCTCATATCTGCATCTATAAGAATCCCTAGGAATTTCGTTTTCATGGACAGTGGGTTAAAATCATTATTTTTTTGTATTAAAAAATCTGTACTTATTCTTCAGCCATCTGCTCACTGGTGCCTTTCTGGGCAACAGGTACTCCAAGCAAATGATCTTTCAATGTTTTGACATTCCTATGGGCAACTGAAGGCAACAATTTACTATCTCAATGCAAGACCAAAAGAGGAGGATTTTTAAAAAGCGTCTCCTTGATTTTCCTTGCCATTTTTCTTCTATTGACCACCCGAGCTCGGTAAACGGTGGATGGAGATACGAAAATGTTTGAAACATCATGGCCAAGGCTCTTTGGAGTTGCTATAAAAGAGGTACTTGCTTAATGGAGAGTTGCTCTCGATCCCAAGTAGACGTGTTTGATCCAAAGGTTTTAATCTAGGACTTGAACCTAATTTTTTTTTGCTAGAGGCAAAAATTCGACCTCTTCGTCAATAGGTGCGGATGATGATGAAGATGAGTCTTCCAGTATTACTGTCTTATTCATTTGAGCTATAGCTCTGTAATGTTTATTCTTATATGAATCATTTTTGTCTTCTTTTGTACATTTAGTTCTTATTTTGGAGACGAAAACCTTGTCTACTCCAGTCATTGATGAATTTATTCGGTCTTCTATTTGTGATCTGAGAAATGCTTTATCTTCTTCCGATAAGCTTGTCATTTTTATCACATTTTGCTGGGAAATGTCAAATAACTCGACAAGATCACCTTTCCAAATATGCCGTTCCATGTTAGCTTCATTGGTGTTTCTAGATTTCTCTTTACCTAAATTTTGGAATTTTTTGTATAGCTTCTGTATACCAGCGCGTATATTCTCCTCTGTCCTAACAGGGATACCTGCTTTCCTCCACGCTTCCTGTAGTTTAGTACTGTAAGATTTAGCAGCTTCCGAAAGTGTTTCTTTCATATCCTTATAATGGTAAATAAAAACTAATAGTTCTTGTTCCTTTGAAGGGAGCCGAGTCCCTAAAACTCACCACTAGGCACCTTTTCTAGCAACCAAATTCCTCTTTTGGGTCCCATTTTATCTGCAAAAGATGAAAGAAATACATGTAAAGATCAAAGATCACTATTTAAATTTAAAACTATAATACATTAACTCTGTTCCAAAAATAATTTAACTACAACTATATAATGAAATGAAATGGCTAACTTAACTCACTTATAGGAAAACTCA